TACTTGAAGCAGAAAAAAACTGTTTTGCAATAATGGATTTTTAATCTCGATCTGCAAGGCCCCATTTCTACGCTAGACTGTATGAAAAATGAGAAACGGAATTAAAGAAAATTGATGATGGAACATATTAGGATGGACCATTTACGGCGATTTATCCGAAGAATCATTTGACGATGAAAAGGACGCGGAGAATTATTCATTATTTAAGCTTGAGTGTTTTATTGAGCATTTATCAGCCGAATAGGGGCTGATAAATTAATGGAAACAGTGAGTTGCTCTGTGCTTACCATTACAAACCAGCAGGGTTGTGGTGAAGACGTTCACTTACCTGAAAGAAAAACTTTGATTAGACCTCAAAACTCATGGAGTTACATTATTTAAATTCCCTCAATTCATGAACACAATCAACTGAGTTTTTATCGTTCCAGATAGAGGAGGAAAGCGCCAATATGTGCGGCTTCCATTATTAGGTTTCTTGCGCTTTCACTGGCTGGTTTTCCCATAAAAGATCGCCCAGTTTATAGAGTAATTAAAACGAGACAATGGCATAACCGTTTAATTTTATTGAAGGTGGGTGGTTTCAAATTACTTTGTTGCCTTAAAAAATACTTGATAATCGGACTGATGATGATACGATTTTTTGAATAAGATACTCGACGACAAAGGAAAGGTTTCAGGCTTTTTAGAAACGTTGCCTCAGCTGCGTAATTCCCCATAAAATTCCCATATTTTACAATATAATTTCTATCGGCTGAATATCCTGCAGCCTTCGGATCGCATATCCGAAGCAGAGAAAAATAAGGTTTACTTTAGCGAACTTTGCAAGATATCGAGCCGGGCAGATCTCCCGGGATCAGATGTTGCAAAGAAGGTCATCCGTGAATAGTTAAATTTAACAATTCCCATATGGAACCGGCCCATTGTATTTATGCAAACTGATGGAATATTGTATAGGGCAGCAGGGATTATTTAGATGTGATATTCCAGCTTTTTCAATGAGCTTTGCAAAGCGACAGACACACTTTCAGTGCGCCTCGATCATTAAGCAAACAGAGAGTTCAATTTCCTAGAGGGAAATGTAAATGTCGGTAATTTTCTCCCAATTTTCCGGGGTTTATCGAGGTCAAGTATCGATCCAGCGAGAACACACTGTCTTGTTTTCCATCTCCTGCTGGCCAATTTGGAAATCTCTTTATTATCGGGCTTCGATTTGGCGCAAAGTGAATTTCGGCTCGAAATCTCAAGCGCGGAAAATAAATACTGTGAGCCAACACCAAAAAGTTTCCATAAAGAAGGAAAAACTGATACCCTCTGGAAAACTTGTCTGGAGCGCAAATATAAAAATAGAGATTCGTTTTGCCTAGTTTGGTGTAAAACTGGTCTTAAAGGAAACGATGCTTCAAGCCGCAGTTTCTTCGGTTATTTTCCGATGAAAATTTGGAAATGATTAAACGGTTCCTAATGACCAGGCAGGCAGCGGTCATAATTCAGCAAATAAAGCGGCTTAATTGAACTTCTGGCATTTGCAGCTGAATTAAATTTGAATGTTTAATTTGCTCGATCTTGGCGCTGTGACAAGGGGATTAAAGCGTCGAATTTTGTGAGAAACAATGGAGTTTATATGGGGTGAAGGGCACATGCGAAGCTTGCCACTAATCTAAAGCTTTTAAAACACCATCAGTTGCCCAACTTTATAACATATGCAGAATAGTGGATTTTAATCCCGGTTTATTGTACATTTTACTCGTGAAATTTCACTGTTTTGCTCTGTTTTTTTGAGTTGCAAAATCCACTTGAACATGACGTTGCTTTTTTCGAAATTTCTCAAGAACCATTCGAGCCAAAGAATTCGTTTTGGCATCGTTGGATAGAGAATTGAAAACTCGATTCAGTCGTAACAACGTGAGTGAGAAAATTCGAGTAGTTTTGACCCAGAAAG